TCAAGCAATCCTCCCAGCTTGACCTCCCAAGCTACTATGCAGCCTTGAAATGCAGAATCATGAACCTTTCTACTGCAGACCCCAAGAGTCAGAATCTGCAGTTTGATCAGATCCCTAAGTAATTAATATACATACTTCAGTTTGAGACATTCTAAAGGATTTCTGGAAGTAGTGAGTCTTGAATGTTTTAAGAGAGCAGATTGACTTAGTTCAGAGGCTCAATTGATACTAAAGGGAAACTCAGTTACCTGTGAGTTTCTTAAACACTGGTATCTTACCGCATTGTAACCACTTTTATAACCCCTTTGACCTTGTTAAATCTATAATGGGAGTTCAAGGTGGCAAGGGTGCTCCTGCCGATGGTCCCTATTCAGTGAGCTACTGTGGAAATTACTGTTAATGAATGAATGTTATAGAGGCAGCCAATGAATTTTAGGAACACGTAAATGATTTTTAGAGAAGTGGGCAAAGCAGGGCACGGCAGAACCTGTCAGAGACAAACATATGAGTTAGAGTGAGAGAGATGGATGAGCACTTCCTTCCAGGTAAATGGGGACACCCTGGGGGCTCTGAGATTTACCTGCAATACTTCATTTTCCATTTAAGTCATGTGCTGCTTGGCCTTTACCACTCCTTGGTTTCCCAGTTTCTAGATTAAAGACAACTGGAATTCTCTGTTTCAAATGCTCTGAAAAGGACTGAGGTTCTATTTTCTATTATCATTTCTGTCTCATCATGATTGATTGATTGAATCGTTGATTGATCTACTTATCTGCAGTATACAAAGTATAATGCGTATAAATTGCATCCACCTCAATTACTATTCCCACTTCACAATAGGGGTATGAGGGACCCACCTCTTCTGTTCAGTCCCCAGATGTTTCATCAGTCCCCACCCCAAATGCAAACATGTTTTAACACATGCAGCCCACAGACCTAGAAATAAGACATATCCTTAGTAGGCAGCATGTAGAGGAAGACATAAGTGTCTTTTTCATAGGTGTGTCAGAGTAAAAATGATGATCATAATGATAAAAACCACAAAAAGATAAAGCCTGTGTGACATTTGCCATGTTCTCTGCCCGTTAATGCATTCATTCCTGCCAATGACCCCTGAGTTAGACTGTGCCATTATTTCCATTTCATATTTAAGGAAATTGATGTGCACTCCACTCCTACAAATACGGAGGGCAACATCCATATGAAGTTATGTGGCCTTGAGATTAAGACCAATCAATTCAGAGGGGAAAATGGTGTACTTGCTCTGAGAAGCCCATCAGCCCTCTTCTGCCTTGGTCAACATAAGTAGCAGGGAAAGGAAGTGCAGACCCGGGCTGCAGAGCCCAGGCTCTGAGTCAAGCAAGCCTGGAGTAGAGCCTGGCTCCACCCTTCCTGGGCTGTGGGATCTCAAAGAGCCTCAGTTCCCACTTGCAAAATGGAGATAATCATAGTACTGATTTCATAGAGTTGTAAGGATTATAAGGATTCATATCCACTAGGTCCTACATGCAGTGGATCCTAATAAGGGGTTGCAATTTATTTACTCCTTTGCAGGTGATAAAGTAATGGGGTTTCTGTGATTTTGAGAAGGAAAATTTCTGGATCTGCCTATTTACCAGGCCTGTACACATTTTCCTTGCATACATTTGCTACTTCCTGCAACCATCCTACGACGGTCCTAGCATTAATGTCCTATAATGTTTCTGCCATTCTCTCTGATACAGTCGGCTATTCATGACCAATGTCTTGTGGATTCAGTGGAAGTTGAATTAAGTCCTTTAAATTGTCATTTTGATTTCTTGTCTGTTACATAGCCCAAGAGGGCTATAGACAAAATGGAAATGGAGACTGTGCATTCAGGGAACATTTATAGTTTCAGTGCCCAAGATGAGCCTCTTTTACTTATTTGATTATAATTCACCATTGGCCTTAGTTAGATTTTAAGCAACTATGGTTACTTTTTAAAAAATGGAAACTGGTTACATAGATGATGGACAAGTATGATCAATTTAATAGTTCATATCCAACCACCAAAAGAAGATCAATTTAATAGTTCATATCCAACCTCCTTAATTCTCTTGTATCATTTCTCTATGTGTTTTATGTGTTTTCAGCAATAAAAGGAGATACCAGGGAGATAAGAAAGGAAGGAAGGATCCCTGGCTTTGTTTAGATGGGGAGAAACATAAACATAAATATACAGAGACTATCAGAAAATAATTAAGTCATCGTGAAAACAGAATGTGTTATGATGTGGTCCAGAATGCAAAACAGTAAGGAGGAAGAACAGAATAACATAATCAGCTCTGAGAGTCTTGAGGAAAATGTTGGCAATGAAGATAAAGATTGCCAAATGATAATAACGGTAACAGTTAATTCTGTGAATTATAGAGCTCTTTCTACATGGCAGGAACTACCCTATGTATTGTACATAGGATTGGTACCGTAAGAGGTTATTTATTTTGTTATTCTTATTTCACTGAAGAATCTGAGGCTGTTAGAGATTAAGGAATCGTCCATGTTTGCACAAAGAATAAGGCATAGAGTCAGGATTCCAACCTAAGTCTGACTCCATCACATGTTCAGAAAAAGCAGGAAGTCTGCTGGGGAGAACAGTGGCAGAAAGGTCAGAAGGTGAACAGAAATGGCTCTAGAATGGAAGGGCCATTGGAACGAAGTAAAAGGGGAGAGAAGGAAGTGACCACCAACAACGACTTTGAATGCAAACCTGGGGAGTGTAGACCTAACCAAATAGTAATAGAAACCTTTCAAGTAGAATAATGGGATGAAACATGGTTGTAGGATAAATAAACTCTGCAGCTGTGAGGAAAGGAGACTGGAGGGATGATAAATTTTTCTGTAGTCAGAGCCAGGAAGAAGTCCTCGGGCAGGGCATGGCAATGGCCCAGTCTGAAAGATAGAGTGTCAAAGAAATTGGCCTCTTGCTCTCAGTATTCTGATATCTGTGTGCTGCAACAACTTATTCAAAGCCAAGAGGGCAATATTGGATTTCCATTTCTGCATTCAGATCTCTGAAAATAAAATGCTTTGACTGACAGTTTTGTGCTTTGGTTGATGATTACACAGGTGATTCTTTCCATGACATAGTGAAGAAACAAAAACATTTCTGACAATGCCATCCAAGGGACATTTGTGTTTTCACTGTATCTGCAAATTATATCACATCCTGCCATGTTTTCTTCTGCCTATCTATATAAGGTTACTTTTTTTGTCCTTTGATTATATATATATTTTCTTCCTCACTAGTAAATAGTAATATACTTATTTATGACCATCTGAATAAAAAGTTTTCTTTTGTTTTGTTTTGTTTTTGAGATGGAGTCTCACTCTGTTGCCCAGGCTGGAGTGCAGTGGCTCGATCACAGCTCACTGCAACCTCCGCCTCCCAGGTTCAAGCAATTCTCCTGCCTCAGCCTCCTGAGTAGCTGGGATTACAGGCGCGTGCCACCACATCCGGCTAATTTTTGCATTTTTAGTACAGACAGGGTTTCACCATGTTGGTCAGGCTGATCTCGAACTCCTGACCTTGTGATCCGCCCATCTCAGCCTCCCAAAGTGCTGGGATTACAGCCGTGAGCCACTGCACCTGGCCTAAAAAGTTTTTTAAAAACACATTGGAGTGTATACCAGTCACAAAATGAGAGATGGAAAAAGACATTCTTGCATCCTGGCAGGCCTGCATTACTCTTTTCTTGATTTCTGTTATGGTGAAATCCATTCATTTTCCTATGCCCATTCCAGCCTCCCTTGACTAGAACAGGGCAGTTGGCCTACACACAGTGCTCGTTCCGCCAAACTGCTCGTTTTGAGCCTCATTCTCCCTACTCAACGAGAGTCACTTATAGAAAAAAAAAATATGGAAATCCCATACACTGACAATGGCTCTCAGGATTCCACAATGTCCCTATAATACGAAAACTTTGCTATCTTTATATTTTATTTAGTAATCAAGCAGAAAATAATTTTAAAAGTGATCACCTTCATTAACTGCTTCTTCTTGTCCTGGAGATGAAGCAGCTGGTTCATGAGTGGGTGATACTCACATGTCACTAATTCCCAGTTCTGAGCATCCACAGATATTTGGCATGGGAAATGCTATGCTTTTTGTTCATGAGGATGCCTGTAGCTACTTGGAAATAGTATATTCTTTAACAGAAGTTTCTTTGTCAGACTTCATAGCCAGCGTGCTCTGTAGTAACCAGACATCCAAAGCTGAGTAAACCAAAACCTCAAAACCAGAGCTTGGAAAATTTTGAATAAGTGTAGGTGGGAATACTCCAAATACATATGCTTCCAGAAATGACTGCGAGAGGGCCTAATTCTGTTTCACAGTAAATTGCACCTTCCTTGTAAAATAACAACAACAAAGTGCTGCAAAGCCAGAGGACTTTGAGGTCATCTTGGTTCAGAAAGTGTCTCATGCAGCTGAACAGTGTTGGAGACGCAGGGGTGCTCTTGCTTTCTGGGAAAAGGGGTCTCATTTCTGCACTGACCTTACCTTAGACTCTATGGGATATGCTCGCCATATACTTGCTACCCACTGTGTTTCACTTCATCATAACAGTAGTCCTGCCCATGTATGATTGGTGTTCCAGCCATTTCTCTAGAGGCAGGAAAACAGGCTCAGCACAGTTAAATGCCCAGCCTGCCTCTGGAGGGGGTAACTAAATGGCAAGGACACTTGGATCCCCATTCTACCTTTATCTTTCCATCACTACACCATGCCACCTCCTGGAAATCTATATATAATACCACGCACAAATGGCAGCGTGTCTTGGGCCTCTTGATGCAGCAGGGTGTGTGTGTGTGTGTATGAAAGAGAGAGAGAGAGAGAGAGAGAGAGAGAGAGAGAGAGAGAGAGAGAGAGGTGTTTTCCTGCTCTATCCTTCTTGTGAGTACACAGAGGTGAGATGGGGCTGTGGGAAACAGTTCTTCTCTGTAAATGAGCCTAACGCTTCCATGATTCTTTCCATTTCTAGAAAATGAAGTACCAACCCCAGCCCCGCCCCCAGAAGGTAAGTAAAAACACTGGTTCACACACATTTGCGCTGCAAATACAGAACATCCATCCCAGCATGATTTGGCCTCCAGGGGTGCTGTGAGCTGTGAGCGTTAACCTAACTTCTACTGAGAAGCTGGATAGTGACCATTGTGATAAGTTGATATTAACAAAAATAATACATTGTGTTTATACAATCCTCTTGTGTTAATCTAATTTGGATGGCACTTCATATATACTGGGGGAGAAATCTTATGAAACCTTTCAAGTTATGTAGAAGTTATTATGTCCTAATTTTACAGTGTGGAGGCTGAGCCTCCATCCAAGGGGCTGAAGAATTTGTAAGGCTTTTTCTCATATAATAAAGATCAAACAAACCCACATCTTCTTTATGAGAGTGGGGAGTGGATCCATCTCTACCCTGGAAGATCAGCTGTCCCTTCTCAACTTGAAATATGTTACTATTTGAGCACCTCCAGAAACTCCCTAGGGACTTTCCAGAAAGGTTTGGTGGCCTCTGAGGTTCAATATGGGACGAACTTCTTGAGTTCTTAGTACCATATTGTCCACCAGCTGGCAACAGAAAACGAGTACAGAGATCCAGTGAGACCCTTGGCAGGCAGGGCAGTCCCCTGTGACACACAATACGTGAAGCTTGCTTTTATGTCCACGTATACCTGAAGAAGAGAAGAGGACTGGAAGACTGAAAGCTCAACATAGCTTAAATTCCCAACCTGTCTCTTCGGAGTCATTTATCTGCCAAATAGCCCCAAGAAGGAAGCAAACAAAATCATGTGCATTTTCCTATAAAGACTCCAAAGTGGCCTCTCTCATCCCTCTTTCTTCTCGAAAAGGGTGAGAAACTGAATAATTCTATAATTATTCACTAGGTATTTACCCTGTACACAACTCTGACCTAACCCTTCAGAAGGATTCAGAAATACCTACCATACACATATAGATAGCTAGGTGCAAGCATATTATACCAGATGCAGTGGGGAACTCTACACAAAAAACATTTTCCCGTATTCAAGTTTGTTTGCAGCCAAGTGGAAACTAGAATACAGCCTGGGGAACAATGAAATAAAATGCAACCACAACGTTAAAACATTAGGCAATATTATAAGACCACCATCCCCCACCCCTTCACCAAGCAGTATGTGATTATTTGTGGGTTGCTTAAACTGGCATGTGGTATGAAGCCAGCAGGCCACTGCAAACCTGGTCCAGCTTAGGTGAAAGCAGTAAGGTCTCAGTTCCTAATCATCTTTTCACACAAAAACTGATGATGCAATTATAAAGCTTTCCTCCCTGGAAGTCATTTTTTCTTTTTTCTTTCTTTTCTTTCTCTTTTTTGAGACAGGGTCTTGCTCTGGAGTGCTGTGGCACCATCACAGCTCACCACAGCCTCAAATTCCTGGGCTCAAGCAGAGAGTGCTTTTCAGGAGGGCAGTTTGAGAAATCTATCTGCTCACAAGAGGTCCTTTGTCTAGCTAAGAATACATCACACACTCAAACCCTAAAGAGTATAGAAAGGTATTACTATGTGCCAAAACAAACAAAACTGGCTCAGAGCCACATGAGTTCCAACAGGGGCAAGCTCAGATTTATTTCCTTTAGATGTTGATCTTGAAACTAGTGTAGATGTTGACATGCTTCTTAGGATCTTCCTCTTCCTTGGTATGTTTTCTCCTTGCCCGTAACAAATCTACTTTGACCAGCATTGATTACACTGAGAACCTACTACTGGCTATTACAAGCAGACCTTTCCCTTCTGTTTTTCAGATTAGTTGCTGCCACTGAGCCTCTATTGTTTCCTTTTTATGCCATATTTCATATTCATTGCACAATATTGACTTCCTCTTGCTCAAATGTCTCCTTCCAAACTCTGCTAAAATTGTCCTTCTTAGTTAACTGAGATTCGAATCTCTATTTATCAGCCCAAAAAAAGAGAATTCGTTATTGAAACAATTCTTTTCTTACATATACCACAAGTCAGATACCATTTGCAGATCTAAACTAACATGATTCCAAACACAGAGAAATGCAAACTAGATGGTCTCAACTGATAGAATCTGATGTTACTGCTCGTGTTTTGCATTTATTGCCACTAAACCCAATCCAGAAGAGTCACATGGACACTGAAACATTTTCTTTGAAACAACACACACTGCACACAATTACATAGTTAGAATCATTACATGGGGCAAACTGACTTTTCCTTAAAAAGTCAGTCCCTTGTTGAGGTCTAAAATAAAGTGGCTCACATTTTTTTTGCTCAATTCTACTCCAGCATGTTATATAACATGATCCAAGCATAGCTGAGTGTATTTTAACAAAATCTGTATTGAGTGTTCTTATGTGTACTTTTCCAAAAATGATGAGATTGTTTTTCACTAAAAGTTTAGTGTGACTCTAAATTATAATTTCTAAACTTATAATTCGTGTAGAGCACGAGTATTCAGTATCATTTATGATCTGTTCTGTTGTCGTTTATTTCTTCCCTCCCCCTCTCTACCTCGTTGCTCATCACACAATAAAATGCTTTAAGACACTTTAAAAAATATGCTTGTACTTTCTACACAGAACCAAGTAAAGAGAAGGAGGCCAGAACTACACCAGCAAAAGGTGAGTTGGAGGGAGGGAGAGTGAGGCTGAATTCAACAAGCTTAGAAGCAGAAAGAGGTCAGTAATGACGCCGTGGTGGTCCCATAGAATTTCTCTGCATTATCTTTCATCAATGTGGTTTAGAGATCTGCCTTTGCATCTTATCTGCAAGACCAGTATAATGACAAATGGTGCATTGCTAAGTTTCCATTACACGTATTTCTAAAAGAAAAACAACAATGATAAAAATATCACAAGCATTTGTTGAGATGCCAGAAAATTAATTGGTAGTTTCCAAGTTTCAGTGTGCATGCTAAGAAAAAGACGTGTTTGTTATCTTCTTGGGAGTATATTAATTGGGAAAATTATCTGAATTAACTAGATTTTTTAATATAGAATATTTTCATGTTATTGTGTGAACTGTTCCAGGTTTCGCTAGTAATTTTGAAGGCTAGCATCTCACTTTGTAACACTGACTATGTATTTGTGTAGATTTATGTAATGATTTACACAGATTCACAGTATAACATTAAGCAAACATTATGCTGCTCCTTCTTGAATTGGAAACTAATTTATTCCTATAATATTATCTTATTTTTACTTTATATAGAGATAGTCTCATTTTAGAAAATAATTTTGCTCATATACTTCTGTTACTCCATGAAATACTAATTCCTTTGTCTCACCATGGAGGAAATGATTATCATTACTGACCATCTGTCTTAAGCTAAGAAGCATTAGTCTTCCACGGGCGGAAGTTTTCATGAAGGTAGATTAGACAGTTTTGCTTTATATGTTTGTACTGTCGTTTTAAAAGTAAGCCTTTTATTTGTATAATGAATAACAAAGTCTAAATTTTGGAATCATTATTTTCTGACTGCAACAAGAAGTTTCTCTTTTTCATGGACACTGCTCAAAAGCATGTTAAGTATCCCTTTGTTCTTGCTGTATCATATTTATCATATTTCATCATCTAATTTCTATGATATTCTTGTCTCCTACATTAACAAAATACTTTTTTCTTTCAGTACATTGGATTACTTTTCTTCAGCTAACTTGAACTTATGCTCTCATAATGAATGCATAATGTTAGTATACTCACTTTGTCCTTGACCTTCAGTGGCTCCCATGGAGAGTAACATGAATACTAATCCTGGCCACGTGGGCCCCAGTTTGAAGGTTATTTGCTTATGGAATGCAGACAGTGCAGCCTCCTAGAACTCCTTCCATGGGATGGTTTCAAGGAGGTTTGGACATCCTGGCTGAAATTATTGTAACATTATTCTCTACAAAGCCATGGCATACACCTCTGTTTCCAAATTTAGAGAGGTGTTTGGGCCAGGCTGCAAGGCTCAACAAACAGAGCAAATGATGTAATCCCAGAAAGCAAGCTGTCAAAGTTTAAACAAAGCCAGTGCCTGACCCTTAATCTCGAAAGTCACCATATTATACTTGTATGTTTAAATGAGAAAATGCCTTTCCTTAAAGCCAACCACCCAACTAACCAATAAAAACTATTTTATTTATGGAGAATACAGCATGAAAGAGCAAGGCTAGATGATGCGGGCATTTTGAAATTAGTAGCATTTTTCTGACATTTGCAGAAGATAAGCAAGACCATGATCACATGCAGTCACATGCCCAGGTAGATAAACTGCCACGTGTGTGTGTATATGTACATATACAGGCAAATACCTCTATGTGTATGTATTTGTCTTACATGCCTAGGAAGCAAATCAATTCAGAATAGAAAGTCACATCCCTAAATAAAGAAGGAAATGGATGGAAGTTTATTATAAATATACAATCCTCTTCAACTATTACCCACTTTCATCAAGAACAGAGAAATTGCAAATAAAATACTTAAGCAAAAAGTGGACAAAAAGTATTAATTACTTCTACACGTATATTCCTGGTTGAGAAAGGAGCACTGCACAGGCATAAACAGGATTGATGGGTGCAACGTACTATTTCTCCAGCATGAACTAGAACTCCCCTGCTCTCCCTCCCTCCTCCAACTACCAGTGTATCTTAATTATTTTTAATCATTCAATTCAGGTTTCACTCCTTTGTACACCTTTCCCCTGACCACCCTGGCTCACTTTTAACTCCCCTTCTTTCTCCTGATTTCTCTTGGACCTATTGCCTCCTTCATTTAATCACTCGTGTCACCATGTAATCACGCATTAATGGTTGACTCCTTTCCCTAACAGGTTGTAAGCCTCTTGACATTGGCCCCCTCATCTTATTCCCTCCAGCATCTGGCAGAGAGCTGCACATAGTAATCATCTAATAAAATACTTGCAAAATGAATGAGCAGTTGAATGGCATACCTGGTGACCATTCAGTGGTAATCTGGATAGATTTTTTTTTCCCATTCAACATGTGTGCTGGGTAGGACGAACATCCCATGTACATTCGTAGTCACTGAGGGTCTGGAATGAGACACTGCTGCAGAACAGATGGATGATTTCCACTGTAAGACCAACTTGCCTAAAGCTACTGAAAGTGGTCATGGCTGGATTTTAGTACATTTTCAGCACTTTAACTGGTCCTCTATTTAATTAGTTGACATATATTCAATTAACTGCTCCAAATCTGTCCCTTTTAGGAATATTATTCATCACAATGCAGCCTTAACATCATTCCCAGATTGATTGAATCATTCTGCAACAGCTTAGAAACTTTCTAAAAATGTTTTTTGAAGCCACAGAGAGTTGTTTGATTCTGATGTTAATCTTAGAAGTAGTGTTTGTGGTTAGATTTGCCTGACTTTTTCAGATTTACTAAAAGTCTCTGTCTGGAAAGCAGCCGATTTCTCAGCAAAGGGTTTTATTATTGGTTGTTTGATGCTTGCTTGTTTGCATGTGGCTATCTATCCAGCTATCTTGTTCCTTAATACTGACCACTTTGTCCTGGGACCTGGGCAAAGTCTCCTGAAACCGAAACAAGAGAGATGACAATAAAGAAATGTGTTTAGCCAAACAGCAATAGCAGAAATTAGATGTGCAAATCCCTTTCAGGGTAATCATACTAGGAGGCAATGCCCTTATAAAAATAATGCTGCCCTGGCTTAGAATTCTTTCACAATAATTATATGTAGCAAATCAATGGAATGCTAAGTATAGGTTCTTTTCTGTATGTTCAGTGGGGTCAAAGATCCACCTTTTATTCTAGCACATATTTATTCAGCAAGATTTGCTGAGTATTGGTTACATGCCAGGTACAGATCTGGGCACTGGTTCCTGTCCTCCTGGAGCCAAGTTACACTTTAGGGGAAGAACAACCATCGACAGAGGAAGGCAGATTTAAGTTTTGGAAGCAGACAAGAGTCACAGAGGGCCATGTGTAGAGAATAACGTGGGTGATCAAGTGGGATCATACTTTTTTTTCCATCAACTAAGATCCAACATCCTATGTCTGAACATAGGGTAATTAGAGTAGGTTTCTGCTGTGCCTCAACAGCTGGCCCTGTGGAAACCTCTGAAACTGGTTTTGTGGCTGGTCCCAAAAGTGACAGCAGCATTAGAAACAGGGACCACTTTAAAGACCATTACTCATTTCCATGCCTAAGTACTGATATTTTGTTTTTACATCGTATTAGTTTAGAGTCTGTATCTTTTTTTTTTTTTTGTAAGCTCAATTGGTAAAGTTACTGACTTTTTTATTACTGCTTTTGATAATCACTAAAAGGTAAATAAAAACTTATTTTCTTTTCCCAGGCATTCACCATATAAACTATCGTGAATGAACCCTATGTGTATTAAATATCTTACATAACCTGAGATGAAGTCTTCCTTTCGTATGAATGTGATTGGCAGATGAGGAAGTGAATCAGAAGCAGCTCCAACACACTTTCTCCTGAGATTTTAAGTTAAAAGAATTTATTTTTTTTTAATTTAGGTTATTTTAAATCTGCAGTAATATTACTCTGGCGCTTTTTACTAGCATGCTAAAGTATTTTTGTACAATTTACCTTTAGGTGTCAGACAATCAACCATCTACTAAAATTTCTCCAGGCTTGATCTTTGTATTCTAATTACATCACTTCTTTGTAATGAACTTTGTTAAAAATTAGTATCACCACACTTTTCGATTAGAAGACACAGCCATTATGAGGCAAGATTGATTTGGGGAAGAAAAAATTCATTAAATGAACCTATTTATTGTAGGATAAATCATGGTTTTATAAGCATCAAAGTGTGAAGGCATGTATCATCTCATTAAGGAAATGCAATAAATTAACCGAATGCCTCAAAACATAATGAATTAATGTTAGCTATTGTTATTGTCTCCCATATTTTATTGCTGTTGTTATTTTGGTCACAAACACCAGTATGTACTACAACTGATTACTCTGCTTGAGGAATTCATGAATTTGTCTCAATCAAACAAGGTATTGTATCAGCATTTAACTATTTGTTTACAAATCACATATATTTGAATTTTATACGCTTTTGGTCTTTATTCTTAAATCGCAACAATTTTCTCAAGTTCATATTGCTTGAATAATTTTAAAAGGCAATTTAAAATCAGCCATAGGTAGGAGTTATTTTATGCTCAATAGAGTTTGGATAATTACAAGAATTTACACATTCTACTATCTCTGGAGGTTTTTATTCAGTTACAAGTCTCTCACTCTCATTCCGAAGTATTTATGTGTACTCCCCTAAAATCCCAGGCTTGTAATATAAGACTGGATTCTTTCCCTACTTTCTAGGAGTTCTTCTCTGGGAACTTCAGTTGTTTAAATAATCATTTTTACTGTCTTACAAATGCTATTTTCCCATGACTTACAGATGAATAAAATTCTGCTTTGGTAAATTGTTCTTCTAGGTTGCTAGGGGAGATAGCCCTCCTGCTCTGAGTCTGTGGTTTCCCTGTATGTCATATTCCAAAAAGTCAAAATCTGATGTTTATGTATTCATCATCACCACTTTTAAATAGAAAAACAATGAAATATGACTTACATACTATATTTTTTGTTTCGTTTGAAAATGTTGTTTGTAAGATGCTACATC